GCTCTTCCAGCTTGGGGCCTGTGCAGGTGCTGCACTCACTCCGAGATTTACTTACATGTATTGTAGGCCTTTTTGTGAGACAAAATTTCAACCACGTCTTTCTTTTTAAAGGACTCAGGCATGAGTGCTGGCTCTGGAAGAGAAACTGAAAGATTTAATCAGAGGTAAGGGCAGGCTCTGCTGGCTCCAGACAAAGGAAATAGCTGAAAACAACCAAAGAGTGAGTGAGCAGGACTGACGCCTGACGCATGACAATGGCTCCGGGAATCCTTGAATGCTGCGATTCAAAGATGTCCTGAATGGAAGACTCGTGCTGAGCTGGAAAAGGCAAAACAAGAGGTGAGATGCACAGAAATCTGCACTGCTCCAAGACCTGCCTGGGGGGACAGCTCCTAAGAAGAGCCCTGCCCCGCCCCGCCCTGCCAAACCCCCTAAGCTGGCACCCCCACTTGCCCCCCAGCCCCTACTCTTCGGTGCCAAACTGTCTTTCCAAGAGCTGGTTCCCTGCTGGTCCAGCCCCAGGGGGGAGGCAGAGGGATCCTCGTACATTTTCTGCCCCGGAAGAAACAAGTCCTGCCCCGCTTTACACACACACCTGTGCATGCCTGTGTACAGACACACACACACACACACACGTACAAATAAATACACACGTATGCACAGAGCCAAAGAGAAACAAACAGTCAAAATGGACTGTCCCTTTCTGACAGCTGCTCTGCTACAAAAGCAGACCAGGACTCCCGGGCTCCCCTCTCTGCTGCACCTGGAATGCTTCCTGTAGCCCAGGCAGCGCTCTCAGCCCCCACGCCCTCCGGACACTTGCCCCAGCTCCACCCTTGCCCTGTGCAGGATTTGTGGTGCTCAGTGACCTCTGGGGAACGGACTGACTTCTTGGGATGAAAGCCGAGCTGTGACTTGCAGTGGTGTAGGTTGTAGCCGTGTTAGTCTAAGGACACAGGCAGACAAGGTTCCTTGGGTGAATCTGATATCTTTTATTAGACCAACCCAAATGGTTGGAGAATAGTTATTAAGCAAGCTTTTGGGTTCAAAAAACTTTCCTTAGCCTGACGAAGGGTTTTTGAACCCAAAAGCTTGCTTAATAACTATTCTCCAACCATTTGGGTTGGTCTAATGTAAGATACCAGATTCACCCAAGGAACCTTGTCTGAGCTGTGATTTGGGAATCCTAGACCCAGAGCAGTAATTATCACACCCCAGAACCACACTGATGATTTAAAAAGACTCTGTCAACTACCACTAGACCCAGCGTTGAGATCTGGGGAATGCATTGGATGTGACAGGGGAGGTGCTCACAAGCCTGTTCACAAGCTTGGCTGAAGCTCATTTAATTCACAACACACAAGCCCGTTGCGAACTCACATGTTTTCATGGCTTTTCCAGGCCTGGTTTTCAAAGGAGCGGAAGGAACCTCAGGATTCTGCCCCTCGCTCACATTTGCCTCCCCTGTGAGCATGCACCAGGAACCACCTGGGCGAAGGGCCGAGGGGTTTGGTTGGCCGTTCGCACATGCTGTTACCCTACAGCGCACACAGCTGTCGCAGTCGTGTGCTGTGGCTGGGTACAACACTGCGCACGCATTAGGGGGCCAGGTCTAAGCTTCCGTCCTTTGGAAAAGACCTTCTTCATGGCAGCAAAAGGCAGTATTTGGACACTGACTCTCCCATCGCTGTCGTAGCTGGCGGGGAGCCCAACCACAACAGCATGAGAACGGGGAAGTGAAAGTGAACAGGTACGCAGCAGGAGGCGAAACCGTCCTGTTCAGCTTCACTGCCCTGGGGGACTGAAATGCAGAGAACACAAACAGCATCGATGGACAACTGAGGAGATTTTAAGAGGATTTCTGCTTCAATAATCTCCCTTGTTATTAAGATCATGGGGGATGTTACTGTGAAATACAGCGGACGAGTGCTATGCTGACAGCCTGCCTGGGTGAAGGCATTCTCTTTCTGACCCCTGCTCTTTTGCCATGAGAGTGTCCCCGTGTCTGCTCAGTGTCAGTCTCACTCTGGGAACAACGTGAATGCACAGGGAAGCGCGCTGACTTACTCGTAGGCTTCTGAGTGCCGAAGTGCAGCTCCAGGTCGAGGTACTTGACCATATCGCTCAGCTTGTCGTAATCGGAGTCTTCTCCGAGCTGCAGCAGACAGAGGAGGACAACGGTTAGTGGGGCTCCAGGGGAGAGGCCAGGCTGCACTCCCTTCCAGCCCCCGCAACTCAGTGCTGCGCGCCCCCACCGGAGCTCAGAGCTAGTCTGTGGCGTTTTCCTTGTGACTGCAGCAGCCCCTGGGGCCTGTTATTTCTGGTATTTCATTTGCCTCTTGCAGTGCCCCAGAACTGAGGTACTTCAGATAGCAGAGCTGACGGCATCCCCAAGGACCTAGTCTCTTTTCAGAGGGAAGGAAGGAACCCAGTGATTCATTCTTCCAGGACAGCCCCTTCTCCTGCCCCCAGGCTCCCCCAACCGGGGTTAACCAGGCAGGTTGCACACACGCACTAAATGCTACAGAGTACACATCACACTCTCTAGCGTGTTGCCCAGGTGGAGGTGATTTCACTGAAGCCCAAAATGGGGATTCCAGAGACCTCAAGGGTCTTTTGCAGCTGAGAAGTCCCTGAGTGGAAATAATTCCTTCCCAGGCCTCCCAAAGGGTGGGGGGAGCTAAGGTGCCAAGCAAACTTGATGTTAACTCACTCTCCTTCCTAATTTCTCTCTCACTATACTGTGCTTTTTGTATGTCCTTTCATGGAAGTGAGCTTCAGCTCATGGCAGCTTGGGCTTGCTTTCCTGCCTGCCTTCCTTCCCTGGTTAGTCTATAAGGTGCGAATCTACCCTGCCTTCCAGATGACACAATGCACTATGTATGAGTTAATTCACAGAAGCGGGTCACCCAGGGAGTCTGGTCTTGGCATGCGAGACTGCCTGGTGGTTCGTTTGTGCCAGAGAGCACGGGCAGGCTGAGCAGCCCCGCGCTTTGGAAGCCAGAGGTTTGCATTTCAGTCTTGCTGGGCTCAGCTTGTCCCACATTGCTTCACAGCGACTCGGCTCTGCTCTCATGGCTTCGCAAAGGGCTGGCTGAGCTCAGCGTGCCGTCTAAAGGGAACCACTCCGGGGACCATTCTCTCACCCTCTCTCTGTTTCACACCCCCGCTCCCCTGCTGGGTTGGTGCCCTCTTCTCTTCATCTCTCTGCTTTTGCAGTTTAGCCTCTCTAGAGTTTCCTACAGCTGGTGACTGATGACAGCTCCTGTCCACATTGATGCACCCGGGCAGAAAGGTATGCTCCCCGCTGCACTGTGCGACAGGAACACGTCCTGTGCTTTTCAGTATTCACCGTGCTTGACCCTCGCCTGGTGCCCTGGGTTCTGATCCAGACAAGGAGACTAAGAACAGCCCCTGGGACAGGCCACCGCATCCGCCTGCTCCAATTCGTTTCCAGCACCTAATGCTCCGAGGGAAGGGACAGATGCCCCCAGCCAGTGCACTTGGAGTCTGCTGCTGCTTGGGGCAACGGTTCCTTCCTGACCATTCGGGCTCCAGCCTTGGAGGCTGGGTTTGGTCACTCTGATCAGCAGCTTTGCTGCTAAGATCTCGGTGTAGCTTCTGGACACGAGACTCTCCTGCCCCCACCGACAACTCCTTGCCTCCACCAGCCGGGCTCCATCTCATACCTGCCCCCAGATGGTCCCTTCGGAGTTCTCCACCTGCTCCCACCGCAGCCGCTTGACACTCATGTGGTTGGACTCGCTCCGGCGATGCATGAGGCCTCGGTGCAGCATGGGGGGTACGCACGGCACTGGTGGGGGAGGCGGGGGTGGGGG